GGGAGACAGCACCGTTAGAAAGCGCTTGGAGTGGACAGTCAGGAAAGTAAGAACCTGCGTAAAACACACATGACTCCTCTCTTCCTGTTGCATAAGCTGATAAAGAGTTTATTGCACTTGCATCCTTTCCAGGTCGTGGCTGTGGACTTTGCACTGTTATTTATTGTGCTGTCAAAAGCTGTGAGCTGCGACCAGAGTCCTGCATGTGAGCCAGACGCGCTAGGATCTTTGTGGGACTAGATGTGTTGCAGATGCTCCCCCATGCTGTGTCAGCCCATGTTCCTCAGCTCCGTGTTTCAAACATCCTGGGCTACTGTGGTGATAGAAACCAATTTAGTTCTTTTTAATTCTCTCCTTTCCTCCCTGCCTCCCCAAAATTGCATGGTGATGGGARGTAATCTGTCCAGGGCAAGGGTTTCTAGGCCAGCAGGCCTGAGAGATGGCCAGAGTCCTGGATCTGGTGGRGACAGCCTGGTGGCTCTGTCTTGTGCTGGAAGGGGACAGCATTGTGGCTGCTGCCCTGGTGTCCACTTGATTGATCCTCCCTGTGCTTCTGGTAGGGCTGGTTTGCCTTTGAAAGGATGAGTTGCTTAGATATTGAGTATCTCGATTTGAAAATTGAGCTGTCGGGCACCATGTGAGGTGTCATACAGCAATTGATGCCTTTGCTGTGCTCCCAGACTCCTCAAGGAGGACTCAGAAACCCAGTTCTAAGCCTCTTCGTTTGAACAAAACTAAAAACGCACCCATCTTGTCTTTCAGTGGCCAGGTGCACCTTCCACCTGAGCTGTTTGCCTTGCTTCAGTGGTTGGGTCTAAATTAAACTTTCCCAAATTTCTTGGGGTAGCTTCTTCCTTAACAGCCATAAGCCTGGTCCCTATGGCTGTTGTCACTAATACGGACCAGCCTGACTGCAGGAACGTGTCCATGCAGGGCAGGGTTCCTCATGGCTCTTGCTGGTGACTCCATAGTGGGGAGCTGGACGAAGCATGTGAAATACCATGGTTGTTGGATCCCATGTGTTTTGGCAATGAGCAATGCCAAGGTTGTTTGGCATGTCTGTGATACTGTAGCACAGCACAGACAACCCGGGGCTGGTCGAGGTGGATCAGTCCTCAGGAAGGAGATGTTGGATCCTCTTACCAACAGCTTGAAATTCATGAGCTTTTTTGTTTTTTTTTTTTCCTTCTGAGAAGTGCACACATATGGGAATAGCAACCTCTTGATGATGAGTTAAGTGAGTAGATAGGACAAGACATGTTTGTTTATCAAAATACTAATCCATGCCAGGGGGATTGGGTGTGTTCTGGGCAACAGGCAAGGCAAAATAGCCTGGCTGCGATAACCGGGAGCAAACGTAGCTGTGCATGCATGTGCGCCCTGTTAATTTGGACTAATCACTTTGGGGAGTCCCTGCTTCAGATTGCTTCCAGAGATTCGGCGCCCTTTATTAATCTACATTGATAATTGCACCTTTAACATTACTACCTGGGGAGTTCTTAGGAAGCTCTCCTGGAGGCTTTCCTAGAAGATCTCTGCAGGTATGGTCCCCAGGGTGAGGTCCAGAGTTATACCATGTCTTCACCAGGGGACTGGAAAATGATTCCAGAAGGTGGTTTGGATTTGCAGAAAGCAGCTGCAAAAATAAGCTGGACTTGTTCCTGCAAAAGGCGCTTTAGTAGGACCATGTCTACAGGAGAGGAGACCTCCTTGAGGATACAGCGTCACAGGACATGCAGTGACTACTGCAGAACAGGGCCCAGGCTGATCCTGAGATTAAAATGCAGTCTACTATACCCTTGGTGTCTGTATTTTAAAGGGCTAGTTCAGGTTGTGAGAGTTGAGAGAAATGCTATAAATGGTTAAAAGGTGGGGAGAATAATTTGTGCTTAGGGACTAGGAGTGCTCATCTTGCCTCTTCATCAAAAGCTAAACTACTTAAGTGTATATCTCTTTGTCAGGGAGGAAATGGTGGGTAACTAACAGTTTCTTGATCTATCCAGCAACCCAAATCTGGAAGCTGAGGCCAAATGAGTTCACTCTGGAACGAGACATGGGTATATAAGTGTATATTTATTTATGAACTGCATTTAATCACTGGAACAAACACTGGAAGCAAACGGGCTCGTCCTTGTCTCGACATCTGGGTCGAGGCTGCCCTGGGAGGAAGCTGGAACTTGACAGAAGTGCGTTAGGCTCCGCACTGAGAGAAGAGATTAAGATTAATGGGCTGTGACACCCAGCAAGTCAGTGGCCGTGGTCTCATGGCCCCTGGTGGCTTTTAGCATCGCGAAGGCATGGTGTGTGGCCAAGCCAGGGACAAAGTGAGACATATGGGGCAGGTTGCTGCTAGTCTTCACCAAAGCACCCCATGAGCTTTACCGTGTTGGAAGGAGAATGGAGGTGAGCGCTGTCTTTCCCTGGGATGGGAGCTCTGCTGCCATAAAGGACCTGGTTGCTGTGTAAGACCATGGGGTTCTTGCACTCAGTGCACATGAGTGTGACCTGGCTGGATGGGCTCATTCCCACCCTTCCAGGGGACTCCAGCAACTGCTCCAGGTTGTGCATGAGAAGCTCAGGCCATTTCTCTTCCAGGATGAAATGTTGACCCTACCCATGGTCTGGTGCAAGCTCCACACGCAGACCCCATATCTCACCCATGCAGGCAGCAGCAGTCCTATGTCAGCCAGAAAGCAGTGTACAAAGAGGCCATGCAGGCATTAAGCTTGTTAGTGTCGTTCCCAGTGCCTGCAAAGGCATCCATAGGGTCTGCCAAATGCATGGGGACACGCAGGATGGTCCCCTTGGCATCATCTTTTCCCAACTCCATGGTGCCCCATTCAGAATGCCTGCTCAGAAAAAAAGAATTTATCCACGAGACTGAAATCCAAACTGCAGCTCCTGTAGCCTCTTCCTGCTGGGTCATTGGGACAGCCCTCAGTTTGTCTTATCCTGTTTATCTGAATGAAGCAATTGGTAAGGATGTTTTCCATGAATCAATATATCCATCCTTCTATTGTGCCTTGGAGGTTTAATTTGTTCTAGATACTGCACCAAATATTTCTTTGTCCTGAATTGCTCTGCAGAGAGGGAGGAAGGAGAAGTGGCTGGAGTTTCTGAGAACATGCTATGGAGATCTGATATTTCTCAGCCCCTCTTAAATTTGCATCTCCCAACAAGGGCCAAAGAGATGAGGGAGGGTGTAAGTGAAATAGTTGCTCTAGGTATGTGTGTGGAGCTTGAGGAATTTGTACATGTGCCAAGCAATTCCTGATGTTACATGTCCTGGGGAAACCGAAGCCAAAAATAAAGGGAGGGAGGGAAAGTTTGCCTTTTGAAGGATACCACTGCTAGGAAATCTCAGTTACAGGTACATTTCCCTTTCATATTTCAGTGGGGCATTTCCTGTCAAGAGGAATTGAATAATTCCTGTTGCACTCTCCACATCCTCTTCCGAAAACGGCTTCGGCAAGCCAAGGAGCGTGCATCTTTTGAAAGTGATATGTGCATGTTTGTTTAAGAAGCCCTACCGCAGGATCTGCTTGGAAAAGGAGGATTCARAAACACAGCCCTGCTATACACTGAGAAATCAAAGATACCTCTAAGATTCCCAGTCTTGAACTTGTTTCCATTGCTTTATCCATTGGAGCATCATAGGGGYGGTCTAGCAGGGCTGGAGCAGTGSTCATGGATRGATTCCTTGCAAAGATCTGGRATGTTTTGGGGACCTCTGAACAGATCTGGTATTGGCTGGATGCAGGGATCCTTGAGGATGCATCTAGCCTTACTTTCCATCTTGCTGTGCCTGCCCAGCCTGTGCACCAAGGGAACCTTCTGCTTCTCATTTGGAGTGCTTTCGAGATCATTCTGCAGCTCTTCGAGATCAGAGCTTGCTCTGGACATCCAGAAATGTCCCCAGCACCAAAACATGCCATGAAGAATGCACAAAGTCTCTGGTTCTGATTTCCTTTGTGGCCACCAATAACTGTTGGGTTGCACCCAGTGTTTAAGCACAATGTCCTTTCTTTTGTTCCTGGGTACTGGGAAASTCTGTGCATGTGTATAGATAAAAAATGCATTTGTGGTCATTTCAAATAATTATTTCCTCCCCTCCATGTTGTACCTCTGGCCCTGTGTCCTTCACTACCCAGAGGCTGGTTGGATCCGTTCAGGATTTATGGTAAAAGGGCAATTTTATGCATGTAATTAAAACGTGGCATTGCTGGGTGGAAATGGGATTTGGTGCTTATTGCTGCGCAGCTTTTCTCACGTGCGAGGCTGAACTGATTGATTACTGAGGTCTGAGATTAAATATTCCCCCGAGCTCTGCTGCTATTTAATGGGGCGGGGGGAGGGTGGAGAGAAAGCGAGAAGGAAGAGGATGGTTTTCCTTGGAGGAGAGGAGAGCTGGGGAATGTCGAGGTCGGGYGTTGCGGAGGCTGTGGGTGCTGCAGGATTAGACCCAAATCCAGTGCTTTATGCCGTGCCTGCACTGCTGGTGGGCTCCCTGCTCCAAGCCACTCCCCGCCTGGCTACCTCCCTTTCCCATGGGAACTCACCTTATTTACTTATTTTACCTAATTTCTTCCAYCCCCTCCCCCCAAATATATTTTTTTAGATGGCCCTAGGAGGCACTGGCGTTTGGGGCGTTCTGCCACGTGCCTTGGAGAAACCCATGTTTACCCGCTCCTGGAATAATTCCCTTGAAGTCTAATTTTAGCTAATGGGGCCAGGATCCCCGGAGGGAGCAGCGGAGGTTTCCTATCGGCGCAGACCTCAAGGAACCCGCACGCCAACAAAAGCGAGGCAGCAGCACCCGGGTTTATTTTTGCAAATTCTTTTGCCGAGGGTGTGCCGTATTTTGGGAACGCGGGCACGCACCGGCTTTGTTCTCCGGGAGTCTGGCCCGGGCGGGTATTTCAGGTCTTCCAAGATGCAATCAGAATAATTAGTTACTGTCTGTTTGTACCTTCTGTTTTTGTTGCAGACTTTCCAAAGGGCGGATTTCTCTTTGGAGAGCGCTGCCTAAGTGTCGCTTAATCACGAAGCATCTGATTTCCTCCCGGTTATCTGTCATGCTGCTTATGTAAGTACAAAAAAAATCAATGTGGGGGGTGGATTCYGCTTGAGGGGGTTTAGGAAGATTATTCCCTGTTGGTGCTGGTGTAAGTGCAAGCCCTGTTTGGTTTCCAGCCTGCCGTGGGATGATCACAGGGCTGCCTGTTTTCATTGGCGCTTAATGACCCAGCTGGGGTAATGGTGTTGCTCTGGGGCAAGCCTTTGTGGGTGTCCCAGTGATGTGCTGGGTTGGTGTCACTTGGTGGCATTTGGGGAGAAAAAACCACCCTTTTGCAGAGCTCCTTTGTGCCGTTTTGACGCCTTAGCTCTGGGGCATCCCTTTCTTCTTATCAAAAAGCACGCGTTTGCCGGGAAGATGTTGCCATCAGTTTGCCAGGATTGGGAACCAGTCTGGTTTTCGGCTTTCCTTTGCACGTGTGGTACAAGAAGGAGCGAGGTGGTGGCTAAAGGAGATGTGAAGGAGACGTGTGGGCTGCGAATGCAACGTTTCTGCTTCTGCTGTTCTTGCAGGGCCATGAGTCCCAAATGCCGGCTTGGGTATCCCAGAGAGGATGCCGTAAATTTTCTTCTGCCTGCTCCTGCCTCGGGGGTCAGGCCCGGTGCGCTTTAATTAGCTCTCGTCAGGGATTACAGACACGGGAAGCTCATTAGGGGGCAGGCGCTGGCGCGAGGCCTGCTGTGGGGTGCACTGCAAATAGGCTTGCATTTTCCATGTGCTTTTCCACAGTAATGGTTGCCCGCATGGGATGCAGGTTCCYGCTTCCCGGCTGCATCCTAGCCTCGCTCCAGCCGCTCTGAGGCCTCCGGGAATGGGCGCTGGCTCCATCCCACGGTGCCGAGCAGAGCACTGAGGTCTGGGTGGTGGCAGCACATCCTACATCCCCCAATGCCATGTGTCTCCCGAGTTGTCCTGGTTCTCAGCGTTTTGGCTCAGGAGCACTTGAGGCTGAGGTGGGAAAGAGCTGATCGGACAGGGATTCTTCCGAAGGGAGACAGACCATCAGCTTGGATTTTTCCTATGACATTTACTGAGCATGAAAGCATTTGCTCTTTCGGTTATCTAAAATGCTCCTCTGAGAACTGTGAAGATATTTTTTTTCCAGGAATGCCTTACTTCCTTAGTAGTGCCTTGGCCTATAAATGAATATTCATGCTGCCCTGGTGCATCCYGCCACCTGATGAAGGAGGCTTATAACGCTTGGCTTTGTTTAGGCCAGGTAGGAAAACGAAGGTGCTTCAGGCCGTATCCTCGTCTTTGGCACCAGAAAAATGCAGTCCAGTGTCAGAGGACACCAAAGACAGACACAGATGCATAGACCTGATGCTGTTAATTTTTTTTGCATACTTTACAGTTTATAGAAGGGAGGTCCAGCCTGCAAAAATACAACCGAGGAGCTCAAAACGGAGAAGCCAGGGATGCAAAATGAAGCCACAGGATCCTTGCTCTCCAAAAACCTTCTTCCTATGGAGATTCCCAGTGGGAATCCCGCCACCGAGGCACGAGGTTGGGTCTGGCTTCCCCACTCATGCCCTCTGGCACCCCCAGCTCTCCTCATAAAACTCCAAAGAACCGGAGCCCTAGCCTGGTTTCCATTTTAAAAATAACTTGCACATTTGGAAGCTAAAGTTTCAGAAGGGAATGGGATAATGGCTTTGATCATGGTAGCTAGAGATCAAGGGAGGGCTTTTTCGGTTTTGCAGCATCAGATGGAAAATATATTGTAGTGTCTAGACTTTATCATCCCGGAGCAAGGTTTTTTTTTTTTTTTTTTTCCATTTTTTTCTCTTTTACAGAAGATCTAATCCCAAGTTGACAGAAAAGCTTCTTGGGAAAGGAGCCTGGCTTTGGTTCTGATTGTGTCCAGAAGCAACTTGAAAGAGGTGGGAAGCAACGTTGGACTTCGAAGGACTTCTGCGTTTCCGGGCCGGCCGTTTCCCATTAGGCTGTTGGCATGGGTGGAAATTTTAGATTTGGCAGCAAGGAGATTGGAGGCGAGGACCGGCCTCGTGACAGCCACGTTGTCTCCAAACGCTTGATCCCGGTGGCTCTGCAGCACATGGGAGCGCTGGTCATCCCTCTAACCTGTGRCTGCTTGTCAGGGCAGCATAATAATTGTAGGTGTCTGTGTCTACTGATGTTCAGAAAGAACTCCAGTTTCTTTGTCCGAAAGATAGAAAATGCATCATTTTTYTCCGGACTTTTTTTAAGTCTGCAGAACCAGATCAGGCACAGAGCTGCAGTCTCCTAGGGTGCTTCAAGTACCCTCAAAAGATGCCCAAAAGATGAGGAAATGCAGGTTTTGCCAATTCTCTCTCTTCCTGAGTGTCCCTGTAGCAATTGGACTTTGGTGTGTTGGGGGCAAAGGAAAAACACGAACGTGTTTGGAAAATGTGTGAGTTGAGGTTATTGTGCTTCTGCCTCTAGTCATTTATGTGTGCTTTTTGCTTGAGAGAGGGGAAAAATTGCCATTGCCATTCTGTTTTCTTTTCCCGTCATTTACTTTTTTAGGTGCATTTGTTTCCGAGTATGAATCCATGCAAATGCTAGCCTGTAAACGCTTTCCGGTATGAAAACCTTATTAAAATAGGGCTGGAAAGGATCTTGAGAGGTCACTTTGTCCCCAAGGCCGGATCAGTTAAATCCACTCCTTGAGCTGGAATGCGATCGTGTTTGTTGGGAGCTGTTTTCTCGTAAATTATGCATGAAGCGAAGGCAAAAAAACTATCAAATAATGCTGCCAATATGTGTGTGCAAGTCTCCCTCTGAATAGGCTTATGAAATTCAAATTATTTGCTGCCTAGATGTTGAAAATTAATGCTAGGCTTTCTCCAGAGCAATTCAAAGTAATACTCCCGAGTAGCCTTTGCTGTTCCTCCTGTGTCTTTCCCAAAATGCTGGGGCTTTTATGAATAAGAGGTGTTTATCTGTAGCCTTTATCTGATGTGGAGTAATCCCAGAAGCTCCATGGAGGTAACGAGAAGTCCCGGGTGTTTGTTGCTTCTTATGAAGTAATGTGAACTTTTAGAGTGAAAACAGCTCTCTAGATRAATTCACCTTGAGTTGGAGGAACCCTTCCCAAATAAACGCCCAGCAACCCATGTCCCAGCACTGGGGTTATCTGGGAGGTCCTTCCCCAGGCAGCAGCAACACCAACATTCCTGAAATCTATGGCCRTCTTTCTCCTTGACGTCTGCAGGATGATTTAGAGCTGTGGGGTCCTGGAGAGAACAGGATAAGCTGTACTAGAAATCCTTGTCTGCTCTGAGGTTGAACCCAAGTGATGACTTTAGTTGAAAGTCGTCACTGAATTACCTTCCATCACATGTTCCTCTATTCTAGCTTTGTGTCTTGAGTGGTGGATTGAAAGAAACGATGCACAGGAGCCCTTGCTTGATCACATTGCCTTTCAGAGGGCCTGCAGAGCTGCAATGTGTCTCTTCTCCCTGCTTTTAGCTCCCAATTTCATTGATGGATTGTTTTGAAGGAAGCTCACCTGTAGCTAGGTGGATGCTGGCTTGCTTTCAGACAGCATTGAGTCGGTCTTAGTGTTCACACAGCCCAGGTGGTGACTGATTTGCTTTCATCTGGTGGTTTTGCCAACCAGCTTATCGTAAGTAATATCAATATTCATTGATCTTTGACTGCGGGGCTGGCTTGGGGAGCTCCACTAGCCCATCTGCGTGTTGAAAGTCAAGGCGGTTGGCAGCATTAGTCCTTGGCCAAATGTATGCACCGAGATCGTGGCTTTGATTTGTTGCAGATGGCTCTCTGGATATAGTCTAAGGCATTTTGCCAGCCAATTTTATATCCGTGTAAAAGAGATTGACATCTCTATCAATAAAGCTGCTGTGAAATTATAACTCTAAATATGTGTATTCATTAAGTTATTTTTATATCTCAAGTGGCTTGCTGTTCTGGCTTACCATGAGTGAGCCATGTTCTTCGCATGCATGCTGTTCGCAGCCCCAAAATAAACTATCAAAACCACAGCTTTTGAGGTTTTGAAAGTTTTTTTCCCTTGGAAATAGATATGGATCCGCTGCCCATGGGTCCCCCACCTGCTGCAGGGGGACAAAGAACCCCAGTTTAAATAGACATCCAGTGAGGATGAGCCTGCTCCAAGCATCACTGTAGAGAGAGTCCCAGAAATGGTAGCATCTCCAAACATGGGAAAATGAACTCTTGGATTTTTTTTTGGTGCAAGCTTAATGCTGATCACACAAGTCCTGTGAGCTGTTCAGTTGTGCTCTGCAGTGAGACCCCACATACTGGCCAGACAAATGAATGTGACTTTGTTGGACCATTTAGCCCTATGGACAAATAAATACCATTTGTGCGGTGGAGAAGAATCCCTCCTCCATCCATGTCCTTGGGTGCAAGCCCTGCAAAGGCCTCCCTCCCTCTGCRGTGCGCAATGGGCTGCATGGGAAAAGGGTCTTTTGGCCTCATTTGCCCTTGCCTGCTGTCTCATCGACTGCAGGAGTGTGAAAGAAAGACCCCAGATTTGCTCCAGGCTCTGCTCTGAGCTGCAGAGAGTGGGGACTAGCAGAGCGGGAGGGAGAGCCTGGCCACCTGCATGCTGGTATATGTATATACATCTCTATATGTATACGGGAGCTGGTATATTTAGCTTGGTCTCTGAATGGACTTAGAAAATTGCTACAAGCTTTGTTTTTGGAGGGGGAGTGGGGAGGAGGAGGTGTTTTTCTTCTCCTTTTCAAGCATTTGAATATTCATTCAGTAGATTATGAAGCATAGAGCTCATGTGCCTTGCGAGGCAGATCAGCTGCTTTGCATTCCTCACTAATAAAGTGCATTGTTTAAAGCAAATCTGCTTTTTCTGTTGTTTTTAGTTGAGTTCCCAACTGAAAGCAAGCTTATAAAGGTGGTCTGTCCATCTGCTGCTCCTTCCCYGTCACCAGCCATTCATCGAGTCCCTTGGCTGATTTTGTCCTCTCAAATCCTTTCATTTCAAGCCTGTCAAACTGCTACACGCTTGGTGCAGA